TCTCTCTCTCTCTCTCTCTCTCTCTCTCTCTCTCTCTCTCTCACACACACACACACACACACACACACACACACACACACACACACACACAAACGGTGAAAGTCCGATGAAACAGTCTGGCACAGTCATGCTTTTTTTGAGTGTATAGGGAATACAACAACACACACAAACACGCGCGCGTGCGTGCGCAGATGTCCCTCCCCCCCTCCTCTTGTTATTTTTTGTTGATGCTTCGTTGCATGCCTGATTTGCTTGTTGAAAATAGTCAGTGAAGTATGCAGGCAGAAATGCGGCTTTCATCTTCCCGTTTTTTCCCTTCACCCTCCTCTGCATGTCTCTTTTTCCCAGCTTCTCCATCAAGCTCCAGATTTCCCCCCGATTTCCTTTACGCCTCTCTGCGTCCCTTCTCCTTTTCTCTCCTCTTTCCAGAACTTCTCCCCCTCATCTTCTATCTGACTAATAGCCTCATCCTTTTTGCGCTTCCTCGCTTTCTCCCTCAGCAACCTCTTTCTCCCCTCCACTCTCTCCTTCTCCATTACATGCCTCCATTCCTCCTCCAGTTTCCTACTCTCATCTTGCATTGTTCTACTCTCTTTGACAACCTCTGTCCACTTCTTTCTCCATTCCAGTTCCCATTGCTCACCTTCACGTCTCCTGTCTTCTAGAGTTTTCTGCCACTCTACTTCCTTGTCTTGTAGTAACCTTGCGACCTGGCTGGAATCTCCCCCCTCCATCTCCATTTGCCTCCTCTGCTCTTCCCTGAGGGTCTTGGCCTCCTCCCTGGAAACCAGCTCCTGCTCCAGCCTGCGCCTTCTCCGGTCGTCTTCCAGGCGTCTCCTCTCTTCCTCCTCCCTCAGCCACTTCTCAAATCCCTCCCAAAACTTCCTTGTCTCCTTCCAGAACCTGTTCCCCTCCTCCTCCACGTGTCTCCGTTCGTCGTCATCCTTTCGCCTCCTCTTCTCCCACAGAGAACGCCTCCGTTTCTCCTCTGATCTCTCGTCCTTGAGCGCACGCCTCCAGCTCCTCTCCATGTCCCTACTGTCCTCCTCTTTTACGTGCCTTGTCTCCTCAAGAATCTCAAGATATTCACACGCCCATGCTAGCCCCTTGTCCAGTTTACTTTTGTCCTGCTGTGGCCGACCTTCTTCCTCATGCGGCGAGCTCTCCTCCTCCTCTCTGCGCCTATTTGCCCGTTTCAACCTCCTCTCCTCGCTCTTCCTGCATCTTCTCTCTCCTTCCTCGTTGAATCTTCGCACATACACCCAGTGACTGGCCCCCTCACCCTCAACCTCCCTTCTCTCCTCGTCCTCGTCTTGTCTCCTCTTCCGCCTCTCGTTAAGCTTTCCTTCAACTTCAGCACGACGCCTTCTTTCTTCCTTTATCCTTTCCTTTGCCATCGCACATCTCCACTCTGCTTCCACATCTAGCCTCCATTTGAAGTCCTTCCACTTTCGGAAAGTAATCTCTGCAAAGAGATACTCGCAATCATCCGGGTTTCTGGCCCGCCGACACCAAGGCCATAATGATCTGCGTCGCCTGTCCTCTTCTTTCATCTGTTTCTGCTTCTCATCCTCTTTGCTCCATGTCCCCTCCTCCCTCTTCTTCCTTTCTTCCTCCTCCTCTTTTCTCCTTTTTACCTCTTTCCTGCAGTCTCTCTCTGCAATCGACCAGAAAAACTTCGCATCCTTCTCCTTCTCCGGCCTCTCCACCGCCTCGATATAACGCGTGTGTTTTCCCCTAGATGTCCTCACTTCATCCCAGAATCTTCCCCCCACATCTTCTGCCTTGGTCATCTTCTGCTCCCATGACGTCCTCTCATTATCATACTTCTCCCGCCATCCCACAATTTTGTCCCACCTATCCTCTGCCGCAGTGCACAAGCGCTCTTCTGCTAACATCTCATCATGCGCTATGAGCATCCACACCTCCTGTTCACGTCTGCTCACCTTGACTTTCCAGCTCAGACTAGTGTCGTGGAAAATCTCGCTCTGCTTCTCCTGGAGCCCCTTCTCCTTTGTGCATCTTGCCTCCTCCTGGACCATCTGCCTCCTCTCCTCTTCAATCCTGTACGCTTTCTCCTCCTCCTCCCACCACCTTGTCTCTTCTTCCTCTGCACGTCTCCTCTGCTCCTCATGCAGTTTCCACCCATATTTCCTCCCAAGCCTTCCATTTTGCGCTTTCTGACGTCGCTTTGCCTCCTCCTTCAGAAACCTGTTCTCTGCATAAACCAATTCACGCAACGCTGCTTCTCTGCATTCGGCATCCAACTTCCATCCACCCACGTCCTTCTGTAGTTCTCGCTGTCGTTCGCTGATCTTGCTTTGCATTTGCTCTATCTCTTTCCTCACAGGGTGTTCTTCCTGAGATACATCCCCTACTATGGTCTCCTCAAGGCAACTTTCTTTTTCCTGTGTGCGCTCTTTCGCCTCTGTCTCCTCCTCACATCTCCCTCCCCCCTCACTTGTCCTCATTTCTCTGCCTGATCTCTCCGACATAGGTGCACTGTTTTTCTGTGCCTCGTCTCTCTGACATATTCCCCCTTGGTTTTTCATCCGATTCGTGTCGTCGGAAGTTCCTTCTCGTGGCGTTCTCTGCGGTGCACCTCCTCCTAACGGTTGACCCTTGCCTTCTTCATGCTCACCTCTTCTCTGATGTGCTTCTTCCTCCCTTCTTGCTTTACTTTTTCCTGTTTCCATTCCTTCTTGTGGCCTCCTATGTTCCACAGCTGCAGGTTTGCTGTTAACTAACCCATGCTGAATTCTCCTCGGAGGTGCGTCTACTTGCATGCGCACTTCTTTTTTCCCTTCCGCAACCGCTTCATGCGGCCTGCCAGGCGCTCCACATGCCGGTTTACTCTCTGATACTTCCTTCCAGTCGGCAATCCCTTGTTCTCTCCTCTGACCAATTACTTCTGGTTGCGTTCTTGTTTCGTTTTTCCCTTCTTCAATTTCTTCTTTCGGCCTCCTGCGCTCCACCCGAGCCGCTCCTTGCTCTGTTCTCTGACGTACTTCTGCTTGCATTTTCACTTCGTTTTTTTCTGCTGTGATCGTGTCCGGCGGTCTGCTGTGCTCTGCAGCTCCAGATTTACCCCTCGCAACTGCATGGTCTGCTCTCCTCTGATGCACTTCTGGTTGTGTCCTTGCTTCACATTTCCCTTCAGCAATTCTTTCTTGCGGCCTCCTGTGTTCCGCCCCGGTGGCGCCGTGCTCTGTTCTGCTCTTACATAACTCTGCTTGCATTCTGATGTCCGTTTTTCCTTCTGCAATTGGTTTCACTGGCCTGCTCTGCTCTGCACTTGCAGGTTTCCTCGTGGTTATGTCAGGCTCCGCTCTCATCTGATCTCCTTCTGGTCGCGCTCTTGTTGTGTTTCTCCTTTCTGCATCAATTCCTTCTTGTGGACCCCTACTCTTGAGTACTTCATGCTCCGGTCTTCCTCTGTGACCTTCTCCCGTCAACGTCTCTCCAATTTCTTGCTTCACTGGTGGTCTCTCCTTGCAGTCGTTGATTTGGTTCGCCTCCGCTCTGCTACTTCTCAGATGCTTCTCTTTTTCCCGACGCTCAGCCTCAGCCTTCTCCGAACGTGGAGGGTGCCCTACCTGTCTTTCCTCGCCCTGGCTTTGCTGCCCTTGTCTGTTTGGTTGAATCCTCGCTTCCAGCTGTGCTTTGAGCCTCCCTTCTTCCTCTTTGAGTGTTTTTTGGGCTTTCTCTCCGTGGCCCTCCTGTGCTTCATTCTCCCTGTGGAATGGAACCATTCCACTCTCAAGATTAGCTCTCCTGTCTTCTGCAGCTTGTCTTGGTTCTTTCAGGTCCGGTCTATCCGTCCCCTGACCCTCAGCACCTGGTCGATGATGCACCCGGTCTTTGTCTGTCCTCAAATCTGCACCCAGCTCCTGAGTTTTGTTGTTGCACCGGGCCTGCAAATCAGAGCAACATGTTTGCAAATGTGGTTAGAATCATCCTTCCATGAAACCATTTCATCAGGTGACGTCACCATATCAGGTCCATGCACAGACACTTCAGCAACTGTGCTGGAGGGATGGGGGGTGGAGATGCAAGGATGGACCTCGGTTATAGAAGGCTTCATCACAGGGTCTTTTTAAGGACAATCATATTGTACGCAATAGGGGTGTACGGGGGCAAATGATAGGCTAGAGGGTGAGGAAACGAGGATGGAGGATACTTTGGAGTCAGGAAGAGAAGGTTTAGGGGCAGGTTCGGGAGCAGGCTTTGCAGGCAAGGCCTGGGTGCGGGTTTAGGCACAGATTTGGGGGAATGTCACAGGCAAGTTCGGGGGCAGCTTTGGGGGCAGGTTCAGACGCAGGTTTGGGGGTAGGTTTGGGGGCGGAGTCGGAGGGCAGGTTCCAGGGCAGGTTCAGGGGCAGGTTCGGGGGCATGTTTGGGGGCAGGTTCAGGGGCAGGTTCGGGGGTATGTTTGAGGCAGGTTTGGGGGCAGGTGGGGTAGGTTCAGGGGCAGGTTCAGGACGAGAAACGGATGAGAATGAGGGGATTCCATGCGTATAAGGAGAACAGCTTTATGGAGGAGGAGGAGGACACAGGAGCCGAAAAGGGGCAAGTTCAATAAAGGTCATAGAGGAAGAGGAAAACGGGCAATGGCAGGCAGAGGGATTGCAGCAGATGACAAGGGGAAAGAGCTACCTCGTGAAGGCGAGCCTTGGGAACAAATCGATGTAGCAGTCAAATTCGGTGCGTATCAGAAGAGCGAAAGGACACTGAATGGCGATGATGCTATGCATGTTACTGTGACACTGTGATGACCAGACTCCCTTAGTGACAGGCAGCACTCAGAATCACCCAGCCTTATGGCTCAATGATACACAGGTGTGGCTGTTGGCAGACAGATCACGAGTTCAAATCCTGATGAATAGAACAAAAGCTCAGAATCGGCCGGGGATGATATGCAACCATCGTAATCTCCATGTGATGATGCCAGAATCTGCCTGTGATTATGCCACAATCTGCCAGACTGCCTGTGATTATATCAGATCTGTCAAAAGCTGCCTGTCACTAAGGCAGAATCTGCCTGTGGGCTTTTCCAAGCCTGTGACCAGACTATGGCAGTGACCACCTGCGTGTGATTTATGATTCAAGGAAGCAGCACATCTTCTGGAGTGAGGTGATTTTGACTTTTTCTTTTGGCGCAGGCTGGTTTTGCCCTCAGCCGGCCAAGAAGGCCACAAACGAAACACGTCGGGGTGGCTTACAGGAGCTTTCACGACGAAGCGCTTTTGATGTTTCCAATGAATGAAGATATTCTTTGCTTCGGTTCCCAGCACGTGCTTCTCCCCACGAATAGAATGGAGCTTTTGTCCCAAAAAAGAAAAAAAAAGAAAAAAAAGAAAAAAAAAAGAAGAAGAAGAAGATATTCTTTGCTTGAGACTTTCTCCTTTTACTTCGTTTTCACTGTGTCGGAGAGAGTTTCAGTCACTACGCCTGAGTGATTTACGGCCAGGCCCCACTGGTGCTATGTTCACGGAATGCACCTAGTCATGATAGTGGCCAGGTTCTAGTTTCATAGCATTGACACAAAGCAGAGGCGACTGGCCTTTCCTCTGTTGAAACACTGCCAGAATGCGCTGTTCAGGGCTCTATTAGATTGCATGGCATCAATCAGCACCCTTGTCCGCATCGAGGATGACGGAATTTCCAGTTTATTTCCACTTAAGACATGGACTCGACAAGGACTGGGGCTCGGTCAACCTCGACACAGACTTCACATTGCTTCTGAACTGCATACCCTGATTCATACCCTGGTTAACTTGACAAAAAAAAATAATAATAAAAATAATAATTAAAAAATAATAATAAAAATAAAAAATAATAAAATAAAATCAAATTACTTCTGAGAACGACAAGAGAAGAAGCAAAACCACAAGCTGCAGCGATCCAAACACCAAAGGCCGGAAAATCAACCAAGGTTAAAACTTAAAAGTTAAAACCCACTGGGCTAGAATTGTGTTACCGTAGCATAAACCCGGTTCATTTTCAGATCAGGTTTATTTCGAGGGTGGCACAAGGATTGCCCAGTGGGCGGTAAACGATAATAGATCTGATCCCACCCCACCCTCCCCCCTCCCCTCCCCTCCCCTCCCCTTCAGCGCACCTCTCCCCAAAGCTCGAGCAGGCTAGTTTGTCTCTGCGAAAGCTTGGCCATGTTCGTATCGGCTATCCTCCTCTTCCTTGCATGCTCCTCCATGTCCTCATACATCCATTCCTGTTCATCACAACAACCACAGAAATGGCAACCATGTATAAAACCTGTTTCTTTCTAGAGATGGATGGATCAGCGGTCCTGCTGCCAAAACCTGGGTTACCAACGAGGCCACGCAGGCTGCCTCTGGCTTCGCGAGTGACCTGGCCAGGGCAGGGCCCACGCAAGCTCTCGCGCAGAACCGCACTAAAACATTTTTATTCCTCTCTGCACTGAAACAATTTAAAATTTCAGAAAACATCTAGGCTACCAGAGTGGCACGAGTCCACTTGCCCGGCCGGGCCAAAAAGAAGTCAAAAAAAAATATATATATATATATGAGGGTTCAGCCTCCTGATGAGTCGGTGAAACTCCGACGAAACAGTTTGTCACAGCCCCTCGTTTGTTGTCCTCTTCTCCCTCTCTGCCTACGGTTTACCGGGCAGTTCTATTTGACGATATATATATAGATATATATATATCTATATATATATATCTATATATATATCGTCAAATAGAACTGCCCGGTAAACCGTAGGCAGAGAGGGAGAAGAGGACAACAAACGAGGGGCTGTGACAAACTGTTTCGTCGGAGTTTCACCGACTCATCATATATATATATATATATACTGTTTCGTCGGAGTTTCACCGACTCATCATATATATATATTTAATTAAAAATTTTATTTTAAATTTGGTAAAGAATTTCGATGTGACCCTGAGGCAAAAGTTGTTCAGTTTATTTTTCTGCATAACATTGTTTATTTTTCGGATTTTTTATTATTATTTTTTTGGCTAGGCCTTCCCTAGCACGGCCGGGCCGCCCGGGAAAATAGGGTGACCCGGGCGGCCCGGCTGGTAGCCTAGGAAAATATGGAAAACTTGTGTTGCTCAGGACTGCAAAATCGAACAACTTATGGCAGAAGGAGGCGGTTCTTTTAATAAAAAACATATTTGACATAGCAATGATCGTGCAAAAGGAGGCGGTTCTTTTGATGCCCAACAGGATCAATCCGTTCAGGAGCAGAAAATTTCAGATTTGACAAATAGGATCCGAGACAGTGGTAGTTAGACCCCTTTAGACCCCCCTTTATACTCTCCAGGTCACCCCAACGACCGCCAAACAAAGACAAGGCCTAACGACCGCCAAACAAAGATAAGGCCTAAGTCGGGCATAGCTTGGTGGATGTAGAACGTCCAAGCCTGAGTTTTGGGGGGGGGGGAAAAGAAGAAATTATGTAATGCTTTGGCTTGCCCGGGTGATCTGAGTGAGTGGGGCTAGGCAGCCCTGATAGCTAGCCTAGGCCCTGGGGCAAAACTGTAAATGACCATTTTCAAAGTTTGATCCTGTTAGAATGTACCTGCAGTGGCAGACCAGGTACACAACATGCACCTGAATTTTTCACGGTGAAGATGCATTTGGAAAAGGGAAAAAGTGGTCATCAGCCTTCTCTCCAGCAGAACCGTACTTCGATTTCAGCAAATGAGTGACCAGAGGTCCATGCCTGCTCATCAGAGACGGACTGTCCATGATACTTAGTTGAAGGCCAAACTGCAACCTTTTTCCTTTTTTAATTTGGACCATTTCTCACTTTATGTGCGTCATCCTTTCGAAAGGGCCATGCTAATCATCTCTGTAGCATTCCAGGTTTTTTTTGACGGACGTCCCCAAGGACACCAAACTGCAACCTTATTCACACAACGGAGGCCTAATCCACAAAAGCAAACACGTACAAATCAACGACCAGCACTGCTTTCTGATCAGAGTTTAGGCAAGAGACTGCAACGTTCTCTCTCTCTCTCTCTCTCTCTCTCTCTCTCTCTCTCTCTCTCTCTCTCTCTCTCTCTCTCTCNTCTCTCTCTCTCTCTCTCTCTCTCTCTCTCTCTCTCTCTCTCTCTCTCTCTCTGTGTGTGTGTGTGTGTGTGTGTGTGTGTGTGTGTGTGTGGAAAACACAACATTATATATTCCAAAAATTCGAGTTCGAGGGCGGGGACCTCACAATTCAACCCGGAAAGAATTACTGAGAGCATTACTCAGCTACGTTTAGAGGAGGTGTGCCAATAATTAATTGGCAAATTTGACTTAAATCCCTGTCTCGGTTCCCTCAAAAACAAATGCCCAAGGGGCAATCACCAAAAGTGGACGCAGAAAAAAAAAAAAAAAAAAAAAAAAAGTGGACGCAGGTTGACAAGCTAAAAAAAAAGAAAAAGAGAAAGAAAACGTACAAACTGCCAATAAAAACATATTTACGTGGGCGGCATACAATGACTAGGCCATCGCTGCAACAAACAGCCAAGGACGAGGGTTGTAAGCAAACCACCAGCGGTAAACACACCTTTTGTTGTCCTCCTGCCAGACTGCCTTTTCCCCTAAATTTCCTAAAATAGCTGGGAAACGTACTGGTGTTTTTTTTCTTTTTTTTGGTTGTGTTGTTGTTTTTGAAAAGGCGACGAACTTGAGATACCATCGTTGAACCGGCCGGTCTCAGGGCATACTCACACAACCACTTTCCAAAATGCGTCAGACCGCAATTCGGCCCCACCTGTATGCATCTGCCCGCAATTCCGTCCAGAAATAAGTAAAAAAAGTCCTAGTGTGAGTATGCCCTCAGGTAATTCAGGATTATTTCATTCTGTCCATCTGATTGCATCAGGATTTTGAACTTGCCTCTGTGTTTTAACAGTTCATCAGAATTCCACCTGGATTTTGCAATCTGGCACATTAAGCAATCTGTAAAAGTCTTCCGCCTCACACACTAAGCCTCTCCTGGGCAAAATACCTTTCTCTTCCTTTTGGCTAAAAATAGATCAAGTGTTGGTTTGAAATTTTAAGTATCTGTTCTGATGAATTTAATATATGATCCGTGGTCGGAAAGGTAGTGGTGGTTTAAATTTTTCAAAAAGGAAAAATTTGCAGTACCTGTTTTGACATTTTTTGTAGCAAAGAACTTGAAAGTCTTCCGTCTCACTCAGACCTGTCTGCCGCCTAACTTGCGCTTCATGTTGTATCTTTAATATATGATTCGCGTGGGCTTCGGCTCCTCGCCCACGTCCTATCTCCATCCTCCTCAGCTCATCCTCCTCAGCTCATCCTCCTCAGCTCATCCTTCTCTCTTCTCCTGCTATTTCTTTCTTTCTTTCTTTTTTCTTTTTTTTTTCTCTTTTTTTTTTCTTTTTTTCGTTTTCTTTTTTGGGACAAAACTCTCCCATCTATTCGTGGGGAGTCACACGTGATCGGAACCGGGCCCAGGGTCCCATGGCTGAGCAAGGTATCACCGTGAGCTCCTCAACAGTTGAAGAGATCAAATACAGGATTCAGGAGTTTCCTCAAAAGTTGAAAAGCCAATTCAACAATCACAAAGCCCTTGCGGACAATGAGTTTACTGTAATACTTCGCTTACGTCACATTCATATACATCGACACGCTCATGAACAATCGAGAACTTAGGCAGATTTGGAGGGATCCATGTGCCGAATGCAGGATTCAGGAGTCAAACCAGAACCAAAAAGAGTAATTAACAATTTATCAAACGAACAAAAACGAGGAGAAAATCAAAGCCCAGCAAAGTTTTGTGATGCCATCAACATCCAAAAGATCATGCACGCTCACTTGCTCTTGGAGATCAGAGGAAGAAACCACATGCGCTAAAAGCCAAAACACACATGCATTACCAGCGAGAGCCTAGCTCAGTTGGTACAACCATGAATTGTTGAAATACAGACCCAAGTTCGAATCATGTTCCAACTTCCAACAGAATAAAATAACTCTGAATTACGTCGGCCAGTCAATACAACGCCGTCCCCCCTTAGCCAAAGGGGGAAACCAAAGATGAACAGAGTCGAAGGCCACCAGAGAAAGAGGGAGGTGAGAGAGAGAGAGAGAAAGG